AAAGCAACAGAAAATAACAACAAACCAGCAATGATGGTCAGTCCGGCAGCGACAATGCAACAAACCAAAAAGTGGCAACAAAAACAATAACATATTATGTGCATATCAGGCGGTTATGCGGACATACATTTAACGAACGAAAGTGAAAGGAGTCGCCACACTTTTCTTATTTTTGCTCCAAATGACCATCCACAACACCAACACCAGAAGCGTTTACACACACACACACATACATACACATATGAGCTTACAAAAATGCCTTGTTGGAAAAAATAAAATTAAATTATTATGAAAACAAGAAAAAATATTATCTTTGGACTTTACTATGAAAAGTTCGGAAGCATATTACTGAGGGAATAATAAAATATATATACACGGACAGAAAAGAGGGAATGGCTTAATTGACTCAGCTCGTAACTAAGGTGTAACAAACTTCATGTTAAACTTAATATACCCAGATTGCTCTCATAGATTTTCGGTTTTAAGTCAACCGGAAGTTCGAAAATCTTTACACTAGGTGTTAGAGTGGTCCGATTTTACACATTTTAGTCACAAGGATATATATAAATTGCTGTCAGTAAATAGTTCTCTCTTATCTCAATAATACAGTTCATGATCGGCCGATCCTTTAGGAAAAAAATCAGTTTTTGGTACCCAGTTCAAGTATAGATATTTGCTATTTGGGGGCCTTGAATTATTATAAAAGTTGATCCATTTTGAGCTTCCCTATTATTTTTTTAAAGAAAAACCCGAGCAACTTCAAATTTATTGGGGAATGTTTATTGTCATTCGAAAGAACAATTTTGGCATTTATTTTTTGAAGAAAATGTCCTTCAAATATTGGCGCCGGCTATGTCTCAGATGGTCCAACCGTTGAGAGCGGCAGAGCTTTGAAATATCTTTGTTTGCTTTCACTTACATTCTTATTCTGGAAATTTGTATAAACAAGAAGCGAACTTTTCGATTCGCCACTGTCAGTATGTATGATAGTTTAAGTAATTTAAAAGATGTTGGGCTCATATTTATTCTAACGATTATTTAAGAAAACTTAAACATATTAAAAGTATTGTTCAAAGCATTGCTCATCGAAAGCTATAACATTTTTCTCAACCTTCTGACAATTTGTGGATTCCATGCCAAAATAATTGCAACGGGTCAAGCCAATTTTTCTTGCTCTGATGTAATATGAACCGTATTCCAGTGTTAGTATTTTGCAATGACCAGAACAAATGAAATTAGAAGAGACAAGGTCTACGCTATAAATCAAGGGAGGCAAAACTTTCCAGCCGCTGTTTTCCGTATAGTTTTTAAACATCTAAAGTTGGTCGAACGTTGTAATGATAGCAAATTGTTGCCTAATTTGCTTTCTTCACTTTGTCGCAGTAGTATTCCCCTTTAATAGTTTTACCGGGTTTTGGAACCTCATAATGTAGCATAGTCTTCTAACGCCTTGGTATCATGGATATTCGGCTTTGCCTTTGATTTGGCTGGTTGTTCAAGTATCGTACATATATGAAACTTTTTTCATTTGGTTTTCTCGTCATCGATCCTATTTTTCATCACCAGTCGCAATCAATGCAGGTGCGATTTTTTCCTAGTGTTCCAGTAATGTACTTGACGTATATAACCGTTTTCCAATGTTTCTTGGCTTCAATTATCATTCGTTTGAGCTTTTCTTCAAACATTAATGTCATCAAGAAGAACTCTTGGTGAAAACGTCTTTTGTGGCAAAAACCTCGATACATAAAATCATCGAAAGTTGTAAAAAAAAATTAAAAATATTAAAAAGTTAGGAAAAGTACGAACATTTTCGTCGAAATTAAAATTTGTTACAGTAAAGTATTTAAAAAATATAAAAAGTTGATTTGGATTGTTTGCAGAGATACAAAACAGAGTCTAAGCTATCAACGCAATAGAGATTGTATACTTCTAACCCTTTTCAAAAACAATGGAGGTCAAACTTGTTTGTTTAGTCTTGACATTTCGTCATAAAGGGAGCGAAATATTTTCTTCTTTATTGGCGTGCCGTCGTACCAGACTGTTATTTGGTCTAAATCGGGATCGCGAACTGTTTGAGCCGTATGTAAAAGAGTCGTTTGTAGCCACTCCCAATTGAATGGCGTTCGAATAATTTTCCTTACTTGCGTGATCTTCTGCATATGACTCCATGCTCTGAAAACTAACTCCATTTCATAATTGAAAATCGATCAATTCAAGATGTAAGACAAAAATTTATATAAATGATATTAGATTTATAAAATTAAATTCACAATAACGATAGCCCCGTAGGCGAGTAATTGCAAACCATAAAATGTTTTTTTTTTTTTTCAAATAAATTCATTAATCCTTTGCCATCAAGTTTATATAATTCATCTAATGTTCCCAACAATACCAACAATAATGGCCAGCAAGCAATAATAGTAAAATTAATAATAAATAGAGACGCACCAAAAAAAGTCTCATTCCAAGAAAATCGTCAAAGTGTAGCAAAAAAAAAAAAAAAAAAAATTCAACGCGAACAAATGAAACCCATCAAGATTAGCTGAGAGCAAACAATTTCACTTTCGCTTTCAAGGCAGCCGCCGCAAGAGATCATTGTAATAATAAACTGCTGTAACAAATAAAAGTGCACAAAAACAACACAAACATAAAAACAACAATAGTTAAATGACAATACTCGTAACCTGAAAGTACCACAGCAGCCGAGCATAGGGTGAGCGGACGAGACGCGCCGGGTCGACTTAAGCCATTTAAGAAAAAAAAAAAGCAAAGAACAAGCAAATTAAAGTCGGTCAAATGTGGTCAACGTAAAAGAGGTGAGCTCGAGACAGGAGTGTGCGGAGTGTACGGGCAAGCAAGCGCTGTATATATAATATGTGGCAGATTTAATGGATTGTTTGGCTTGCCGCGGCGGCTGGTTTCCTGTTGCCACAGCATACAGCGTATGTCTACAAGCAAATGTGTTCAAATTTCATTAAGTATGTCTTTCGATATTTGTGATATTGACATTAAGCGTGGAGTTGAAGGCACTTGTTCATTACCACTCATGTCTTTGGCAAAGAGTTTTGCAATAATTGCGGTTTTCTTTCATTATTTCTTTACGACAAGCGATTTCGAAGTCGTAAACATTTCTAGGTGACAAACCCACGTACAATTGTTTTTTGTTTTTGTTGCTCAATCAATTATTTTAATTTTTAGGCAATTTCCTAGGCGTGGTTGTTTCCTATTATGCTGTTTACGTTGTCTCTGCAAAAAGGCTCTACATTTTGGCGATTTCTTCTCTGCAAATTCCATATCTTTTATTTGATTTTCATTATGGCCTGCAAATTTTGATGGCTGATAAAGTTCGTCATAAAGCGTTTGAGTGTATTTTCCCTTCACAATTATTGTCGTTAACTTTCCATTGCCTTTGTTTTTGTTGTTGTGCTGGCTTATAAAAATTCTCTGCCTCTGATTGGAAAGTAATAGTTGTCTGTATTTGCAGAAATGAAAGTGTTTGGTCGGCAACGAAATTACTAATATCCGCGAAACACTTCGACCGGGAAGTGGCCGCTGCTTGTCTGTGAGTTAATTGGTACTTAAATTAAAAAATTTTAGTCGTTAATGGCATCATTCGATTTTAACTTTCAAACACAGCTTTATGAAAAGTTTAAAAGTGACATTCCACTAGTTCAACATGTGTTTTTCTGTATGCGAGATTTTAATCTTCTCTAAGCTGAGTAAACACAAAATCACAGGAAACTGTTGTTGTGACACATTTCCTTAATTTTCTTAAATTTATCGGCAGTTAGTTTGCATGTCGTTTTATGTTTGTAATAAGGAGTGTGCAAATATGTTATAATTTTGTAACTGCAACACATAATAGCGACAGGTTTGGTATATAAAATTTATTTGATGCCTTCATTTGTTGAAGTAATAGACTCAGATATTATTATTGCCTATTTTATGACATTAGTTGTGTGACATTACTAAATTAAGTAGACTTTTTTATAAAATTGTACGCACTTCTTTATTGGAATAATTCCCCCTGATCCTATAAATATTATACACGCTTAATAAGATGAGGTGTGGAAAACTAAAAAAATAATATTATATAACGTTTTAACTTAACTTAACTTAGCACAACTTAACTTATATTAACATAACATGTAGCATAACTTGTGGTAACTACACTTAACACAGCTGAACTAGACTTAACTGAATTTAACTTAACTCAACTTACCTTAACTTAACTTAACTTAACTTAACTTACCTTAACTTAACATAACTTGACTTAACTTAACACAACTTAATCTAATTCAACTTGACTAAGCTTAACTTAAATTTAAATTAATTTAAGTTGACTTAACTTACCTTAACTTAACTTAACTTAACATAACATAACATAATACACAGTGAAAAATGTGAAAAAAATTAAATATTTTTTTTTTTTTTTTTTTTGCAACATGTTGCTACAAATACAATTTCCTCTATACTAATCACCACTTTCACTCCAAACCGATAAGAGAATACATATTCACAAATCGCATGTTTGCTGCATTTCCCCTAAGCGCGGATGTACTCATAAAATCACGCTCAAATCCATTTACAGAAACATAATGCACATAAACGATCTGTTGGTTTAGAGCAAGCACAACGACTACAAAAAAGTACTGATCATTAGCGCGTGCGCAGTAGCTAAACACGAATGTAACGACGTAATACTTTAATTAAGTCAGCTATGCAATGGTAATGATAGTAAAAACAAGAAATTGACTTTATTCCTGGTTATATGGCAGACCCTCAATGCGGTCCTTATTAGTGTTCTAATACACGGAAATTATTGTTAAGCATGCACAGTTATGGTCACAAGTAATAAATTATACAAGTGGGCTTAAAATAGTTAAACTTACTTATTAAACTCTCACGCATGTGTGTGCTATTCACTAATAGTATATTCGTTTATATTTTTAAAATCAAAAAAATCATAACAATAAATTCTAAAAATAAAAATTTAAAAGTATTTCTTTCCAGTAAAATGAAAGCGGTCAGAGAGGTGAAAAAATCCAGTTCTACACGCTAAATTTATCACTAACAGCTTCAATAATAGCCTTAAAATCTTGGGAACTGCTTATTCGGTAAGCCAAAACAAGCATATATATATATATATATATATATATATATCAATCTTATTTTATATATATATATATATATATATATAGGAATTTATTTTAAGTACTGAAGTAAAAAGTAAGATTGACTCTTTCAATTAGCAAATGTGATTTAATATTAAATAATATTTTAGTTTTTTCGCTATTTTCCCACGTGCATGTGGCCCAACCAGCAAGTGAAGGCATTTCTGTTTTATATTATATTTTAGCGAAGTCATGCCAATGACGTATAGGTATATATACTATATATAGCTCCAGTGAGTGTGATTGAAATATATAAATTTCTATATATTTCTCTATATATGAGTATGTGCGTGTATATAAATTTACAAAATACTGGCGTGAAGCGGTCACTCACGCTGGCGTATACGTAACATTTGTGTGTTTTCAATTTGTTTTTGTTTGTTCTTTTTTTTTTTTTTTGTTATACTATACATGGCAACGTACTATATCTTTACTGCTTTACAAGTAGTGAAATATGAAGCAGCGTAGCAAGTCAAGCGCAACGCATGCCAAGATAGCCAGCTAGTTACACTGTAAATGTTAATGAGCAGCGCGGCTGGAAAAGGGAAACATGGAAACTAGTATTACTAAATCGTTACTTTAGATTAATTTTTTAAATCTTAAGTCAGAAAATGAAGCAGGAATGTGAAATGAAATGAAAACGTTTCTTTTAATTATCGAGGTTTCATTAAATACAGAGCTTTTCAATAAGACTGATATGATTTTAGTAAAAAAAAAAAAACCAAAAAACATCATTCAAATGGCATCTACGACTTCTTTTGCAGAAATGAATTCGTTAAACCCAACTTTGGAGTACTTATTCCACTAAATCCAGTCGTATGTCATGCATAGTCCGTTCAATATAGACTTCTAAAGCTTAAAGAGTGTCTGAACAAAAAAAGTTGCAATTGGAAACCCATTATTTTGATAATAAAATTGAATAATTTGTAAACGCATATCTTTTCATAATGAAATTGTAGGCAATACTGAATATAATGAGGAAAAAATACAGACATGACATATTAAAAATCGCCGAAATGATACTTAAAAATCAAATCATCGCTATTGGAAAACCCGAAATCTCCCTCTTTCTTTCACTCTTTTTGTTAGGAATACGCAAAATATGGTGTTATTCGAATTTCAAATTGGAAAAAGTCTAACCTATATACCAAATACAAAATATAATGTGCTTAGTTTTTAATTAATTGTTTTTAAATGAGTTTAAATGGTAACCTTTACTTGTATATTGGTAATCAAGCAAAGGGATTCCAAATTAGTTTTATAACTTTTTGGAAAGTATGTAGAAGATAGCGTACTCTATCTTCATATTAAATATGAATTTCTTGAAAACATTTTAATTCTTTTTTCAATTGGAGTCGTAGACTCGCATCCTTACAAAGAACACCGAAAAATGATAAATATTGTTCTGTTTAAATTTCAGATGCCAGAGACAGGCTCCAATTAACATTTTGCAACCTTCATTCTCGATTTACTATAGAAAAAGGTTGTCGGAGACTTCAACAAGTTAAATTATGTAAGTATAATCATTGCCAATTTTTTTTTATTAAAAAACGTTAAATCCAAATTCACTACGCAATTTTTTTTTTCAACGCATCACGCAATATTTCGGTTTTACAAATTAATTGAAGTCAATGTCGCGACGACCACATCGAGCTTTTGGCGCTTTCATAATAAACCGTTACGGTCGTTATACAACAACTGCAACAAATAATAATAAAAACCGCACAAAAAGACAATCTTATGACGAAAGTTTAAAATAATTGTTGGCAGCACAATTATTGGTAATTTTAAATAAATTGTCTAAAGCAATTGCGTGGGATAATTTCTTCAAACGAAGCTTGAAAATAAGAAATAACTGTAAAATCAAGCTACCTTACCTAAGTGGTGTTGCTTCTAATTAAGTTGTGTCATACAAATTCCCACCAATTAACGGTGCAAAGCAGTAAAAGAAGCAGTAATGGGTAAAATTTAAAATTTAAATTTGTAAGTTACGGCGGTTCTAAAAAACTAAAGTGAGATTAAAAATAAAATAAAAAAATAAAGTCCATTTTTTTTTTTTTTTGTTTTTTGTATAGTGGGTGTAATACCCAGAAAAAATTATTTTCAAATAGATTTCAAATTAAGATGAAACTCACGGGAAATGAAGAAGATTTAAAAAATTCAAAAATATTTTTATACTCTCGCAACAAAGTTGCTAAAGAGAGTATTATAGTTTTGTTCACATAACGGTTGTTTGTAAGTCCTAAAACTAAAAGAGTCAGATAT